CCTACGTCCTACGTCCTACGTCCTACGTCCTACGTCCTACGTCCTACGACTACGACTACGATTACGACTATTACTACCACTACTACTACTACTACTACTACTACTACTACTCCTACTCCTACTGCTACTGCGACTGCTACTGCTACTGCTACTGCTACTGCTACTGCTTCTGCTACTGCTGCCGCTACTGCTACTGCGACTGCTACTGCTTCTGCTACTGCTGCCGCTACTGCTACTGCGACTGCGACTGCGACTGCTACTGCTACTGTTACTGCTACTGCTACTGCTGCTCCTGTTGCTGCTGCTGCTGCTGCTGCAACGGAACTGTTTTGAATACTACGACCACTTCTGCGGCGCGTACTTCGACTGACCAGTCATTGGAGCCGTCTTCGGTTATTCCCGTTTTGCTCATCTATCTGCCCCGGGAGTGAGGTTCGTGAGCGAAGTGCTTTCGCCCCAGTGCCGGATGCGAAAATCGCAGAAGACTCGGCGACCAAGCCAGGGCCAAACTTCTCGCAGATCAGGTGGCCCGATTGAGCCGGGTTTCTTTTGGTCCTGTATCTGGCTTTTTGAAACCCTAAACCCCAAACCTAAACCCTAAACTCTTGAAGCCCCAAAGCCCTAAAGCAGCGAAGAGTAGGTGCGAAGAGAATCTTCAAAGCTTGGTTGAACGCTACTCTGACTGGGTTTCGGGCTTAGGGTTTAGGAGAGGCTTTTGTGGTTGGGGTTAAGAGCTTGGAGGGTTTGGAGAATTTTGGGTTTAAGGTTTAGGATTCAGGGTTTAGGGCTTCGGGTTTAGGATGGGGTTTAGGGTTTAGGGCTTAGGGGTGCATCGACTGCTGCTTTACAGGCAGACCCCCGAAATCCCCCGAAGTTCTCCAATCTCACTCTTCGGGCTTCTGGCCTTTGGGCTTTGGGGCATTTCGGACTTTAAGGGGTTTAGGGTTTAGGGTTTAGGGTTTAGGGTTTAGGGTTTAGGGTTTAGGGTTTAGGGTGTTAGTGTTCCTCCAAACATAGGCTTTGTTTGGCACATGTAAGATTCTGGAACCACCCCCCTAGAATCCGAAATTTTCAGTTCCCGCAAGACCTCAGTGCAACGACTCGTAAGTAAATTCCCGTTAGATATCTCAAGTTTTGAGAGTTAGGGTATAGTCCTGATCAAGACCTGTACAAACTCCCAAGTACGTGCTATAGAACCCTACATCCGTTTGAGCGAGCCGCGCCTGCTCAGATTGTCCTTGTCTGCGCTGCACCTGCAGCAGGAGCGTTGCACGCAAAACACCAAAGACTGGCACTTCATGTGAGTAGTTCTATTTAGGGTTTAGGGTTTACGGTTTAGGGTTTAGGGTTTAAATTCTCTAAATTAGAGAACCCTCATGCCCTTATAGTACTCTTATAGAAACCCTATAGAACCCTTATAGATCCCTTTAAGGAACCCCTAAAATTGACCCTAATTCAGAGAATTACCTGTATTGGCAGAAACGGATGAGATCCAGAAAGGTTTTCGGTTTATTGGTTTTTGGGTTTACGGACCCTGAAGCCCTAAACCCCAAACCCTACCCTAAACTAAACCCTACACGATCCTAAAGCCCGAAACCCAGGTCCTAGAGCCATTTCGATTCGTTGGATTCCGCGAAGCCTAGCCTCCGATATCCTGGAGCTCTCAACCTCGACACCCTAAGCCCTGAACCCTCAACCCTAAACCCTAAACCCTAAACCCTGAAACCCTAAACCCTATAAGCCCTAAAAAGTGTCCGGGCCGCCTGAAGCTCAAAACCCTCAAGCCTGTAACTCTGGAAGCCTCCGGAGGTTCCTGGCAGCTTAGCCTTCAATGGGGCGTTTTTTTACGGCAGACATCGGAAGAGGGTCTATCCTCATCCTAAACCCTAAACCCTAAACCCTAAACCCTAAACCCTAAACCCTAAACCCTAAACCCTAAACCGAAGCTGGAGCCTCCAAACCTCGAGCTCCACTGGCCGAGCCTTAAGATCAAAACCCCTGCTGCATCCCTATCGCTAATCCTTATCGCTAAACTTCAGACACAATCAATGATGCCGTTAGAAAACGCCAGAAACCCTCTCAACAAAACGATAGCCCTGTGCGAACAGACTTCGATGCCT